GTTTCTTTATGATTACTTATATAAATTACTCAATAAAGATATGAGCAAGGCCTCACCTTTTAATACAAAAAAAAAAAAAAAAGATATTAAAAAATTTAAGGCAAATTTGCTTCTAATTTGTATATGGATTAAGAAATTAAAGTTATAAAGTGTCTATTCACTTAAATCTTTCTGATTGGTCGAGCACATGTATCCATGATTAGGGTCATCATTTTGCAAGTCTGGAATGTGTAACAGGTTAGTGCTAGACTACCAATCAGATTTCAAGATCAGGCGTAATGTTATATAATCAAAACAAATACTTGTTTGATTATGTAATATTATGCCTGATCTTGAAATCTGATTGGTAGTCTGGCACTAACCTGTCACACATTCAAAACTTGCTATTATTTTATCTAAGAACCTGTAGCCATGATGATCATTAGCTAATCTATATCTATCTATATATATATGATCATTAACGATAGAAAAAAAATAATTGTACTTTATAGCCCCATCTATTATGAATTCTTAAAATATCTTATCTAAGATATCATTACTTTCATATGATATGTCATACTGATTTCCTGCACTCCGCCCCACGGATGTTGTTCAATTCAAAAAATTAAATTCCCGATCAAAAATTTATCATTACAATAATAAATGAATGCTAATAAATAAATAATAATAAATTATAGAACCAAATCTAAAAATCTAATTCATCTATCTTTGCTTATCTGTAAATATTTATTTGTCTATTTAGTAAATGCTAAATAACCTTATTTAGCTTTAAATCGATTAATTGTATTTAGAATGCCCAAATATAAATTTATTTTTCATTTATTTATATTTTATCTAATAAATCACTTACTTGTATATTATTGTATACCATTCTCATTTTTTATCAAAATGATTAATTAATATGAATAAATTAAAATACTAATAAAACAACAATCAATAATATTTCTTTATATCTCATTTATAATCAATCATACAATTAGATTTGATAAAACTCTTCTACTTATCTCGCTAATCGCTAGAGATTTATTGATCTGATTTACCATTATATCTACTTTCACTTACTATCTTCAAATCATTATTTCAATCAGAATCGTCTAATAAAATTGCTTATCTAAAAATCAAAATTTAAACTTTATTAAAAAATCTTTTTTACAAACCAATAAACTCATTTAACGTTTAATCACCTTATCATATTAAGAAAGTCCAATTATATAATTATTTAAATCACTTAAAAAGAAACAAAATTTTTCATACTACTATTACGTAATCGAAACTATAAATTAATATCAGAAAATAAAATACCAATAAAATAATGATCAATAACATTTCTTTCTATCTCATTTATAATCAATCATATGATTAGATTTGATAAAAATCTTCTACTTATCTCACTTATCACTAAAGATTTAACGATCTAATTTACCATTATATCTACTTTCGCTTACCATCTTCAAAGTCATTATTTTAATCAGAATCTTCTAGTAAAAATGCTTATCTAAAAATCATAATTTCATCTATATTAAAAATCTTTTTTACAAAACAAATAAACACATATACTGTTTAATCACCTTATCATATTAACAAAGCCCGATTATATAATTATTTAAAAAAACTAAATTTTTCATACTATTATTCCATGATCGAAACTATAGATTAATATCAATAGATAAAAAATACCAATGAAACAAACCTAAATCTAGATATCTTGTACTCCAATCTCTCTTTTTATAATTTTTATAAAACTCTTCTTTGTCTGTAATAAAAAACGATTACTTAATATCAATAAATAAAATACTAATACAACAACAAACAATAATTTCTCTTTGTCTCGCATGTAAATAATAAGCCTCTTATCAATTACTAAATTTTTTCTATTATAATCCTCAATTAATAAAAATATAATAAATAAATAACTAATAAATTAACATCTTTTATTTTTATATTTAAGCGATAACAACTTAACTTGCTACCTTCTATAAATTTAATCTTCCTTTAATTTTCCTTTACAAAAAAAAATGTTATCAATCTTCATTGCCTTTTGCTTCATTAAAACTACTAGTGGAAATGATAAATTTGTAACTGGAACTGCCCTCTATCGTGCTACTAATGAAGATGATAAATTCAGAGAATTCACATACAAGAGCTTTACTGGAAATTCTGATTCATTAATAATTGAATTTGAAAAAAATTCAATTGTATTAATGATCGGATGATATGTTTATCATGAGAATACTGAATATGTAAATTTTCTTATTTTACCTAATTAATTCTTTTTTTTTTATTAATTTATCTTCTTTTTTATTATTAGTTTGGTCTCATTCAAACTATACCCATTTCTTCTGCTTCCGATTTTACATGTTCGCCAGAAGATCTTAATGCTTTCCCCTTATTGTTATATATTGCACTAGCCATTACGAATTCCTATAAATTTAATGATAAATAGGAAGACAAAGCTTCATGCTATCTAAAAAACTTTATAATCCTGTTAATGGACAAAAAAGTATAGATTCGAACGTAATTGTATCTTATACAAATGTAAATAGTCAGTATGACTCCCTCAAAGATAGCCTTAAGAAAGGTGTTATTTCTGCAATTGGAAGATTAAAACTAAGTCCTGTTAGTAAACTTCCTCATATTATATCATTAGAAATTGAATGGAGCTATGCTTCAAATGAACTAAAATCTTCGCTCCAATCTCCTACTAAAAAAATCAAACTTACCAAGCAATTTAATAATCAACTTGATTTGATTGAAGAACAATATGCTACTATAAATTCTCAAGACTCCAATAAAAGAAAATGAACTAGCCTCTTTGCTTCTTCTGCCAAATCTTCAAATGGTAATACCCCAACTGTCGATCTTCCTGATCTTATAAATCAAATTAGATCTAATACTTCTGAACCCCAACTGTCGATCTTCCTGATCTTATAAATCAAATTAGATCTAATACTTCTGAACCCCAACCATCTCAAGAATCATCTACCGATAAAACTCCTCTTCAACAAACTTCTAAATAATCTAATAAAATTTAAATATATTAGACCAAATTCGATTCTTAGTAACTCTATCTTTCTAATGATGTTAAGATTTTAAAAATTAGCTAAAATTCTTCACTTTTCTTAATCTAAGCTAATTAACTTACTTTTATATTACTGCTGACATTTTTATGCTTCTTCTAAAAATCAATATTTTAAAATTAATAAATCATCAAAATAAATAAATATTACAATATAACTCTAAATAAAATTAATTTAACCCTTTGTCTCACTTATTATATTCTAACTTATAATATAAATTTTTTAATTTACTAAGCTCTATAAAAATACAAATACTAATATTTGACTTAGTATCATAATCCAAAAATACTTACTTTTACATCCGTGTATTTATAAAATAAATTATATATATAATATAAACCATATCTCTGATTAAAAATTTCAAATTCATTATAAATAGCACTACTTATCCTCCTACTTTCTCTTATATTCACATTTTTCAAAATTCCTCTAAGAACTTTTTTCGCCATGCCTAATTACACTATTCAAACGTTTTCTCTTATTACTTTCGACTCTAATATATCTCATGATACTAAATCGTTTACTGATTCCCAAAATACAAATATATTTACCTCATACCTTTTTCATTCTGAAATAAATCAAAACCTATCAAACACACCTGCTCCTGACAATAATCGGTTATTACCTCTTACTATCTCACATTTACATCCTGAATTTATTCCTTCTTCTCGCCGAGTAAAGCTTAACCTACTATTAAATGAGTTTCAAACAAAAATATTAAATGACTATCTATCTATTCCTTGTGCATACTGCTCGATGCTAATGATGAAATCCTTCGTGCAATGGATTCCTCTTGATATTGAAATTAATTATCCTTTATCTACCATTTTCAATATTCCTGTGCATACTCGTATAAATAATCAAAATATGACTCAAGTTGCAGTTTGTAATAGTTGCAAAAAACAATCAACTAGACGCTACCCACCTATATTAACACCTATTCCTCCTGAGCTTCAAAACATCCTGATGATATATAGAAAATATCTTTCTCCCATCCATTTAAACTGCTCTTTAGGTCGCTCTTCTGGCACAAATCATTACTCCAATTATCACTATCTAAAAGGAACTATAGGGATTACTCACAATTACAGATCTATGCAAATATACTCTGGTACAATTGGTGCCTATCTAAATGTAATGAACCTCCGTCATGGTTTCATAGCTCTTTAATTTTGGCATCTGAATAGTTAAAACAAAATAACAGTATTATTAGAAATTATCACTCTAATCTATTAATAACTCCTTCAACCCAACATTATCTATACCAATTCCGT